CTTTTGTTAGTCGGATGGTGGGGTGGTGGGTCTTGTAGAAACTACGCGACTCCCACAAGGTCAAGGGTCGGATTATGACCATTTGCACAATATATGCTCGCCTGTGGCCTAATGCTCATGTTTTCCATCAGGCGAGAATCTCGTAAAACAACATTTTCCTTTCGAGTTGATCCAGCCTAAAATAGGTACCAGGATATGGTCTGGGTTTTTCTTTCTAGTTGGGTATCCTCTACAGGACGTTACAGAACCTACAGCAGCATTTATTTTTACCATTGTGGTTTTTCTAGGCAAGTTTACGTCTGAATTTTGGACGGTCGGCTTCTCGATACCACTGTCGAAAACAAAGCAAGGCGCAAGGCCCGCAGCTGGGATTGAACCCGGCACCCCGCTATTACGAAGTGCGCTCGCAACGCCTAAGCCACAGACACCAGCAATTGTCTGGTAACGGCGTGATATTGATAGATTAGCAAAACAGAGCCCTGATTGTTCCACCACTGTAGGAGGCTATAACCATATGCCCAAACACCACAAGGTTGGGAAAAAAAGTGGTGGGGGGGGGGGGGGCAGAGTCCTCGAACTTACTGCACTTACTTGAAGGACAATAAAGGCTGTCTTCTGCTTCTTCTTTATTTACTATTTTACCGCTTCGGGTGTGGAGGGAGACAACAAAGTTTTGCTTCTTGTTGTTTTTGTCGTCTCGGATACAGACACATAGTATTGTCGTAGAGTTTCTCTGACGTTATCTTTCCATACTGTTCTTGGTCTACCTTGTGCTTTACCGCCCTCTCATCTTTTTGGTGTATGTCTTGAATGGTATGGCTTCACAAGGCATTACTTTAAGTGGACAAACGAATTGATCTGCTGTCTTTGAATGTAATTATAATTTATTCTATGTCGACATTTTATTTTATGACTTAATTCCTGAATTGATCTCTTCTGATCTCTTCTGCAGCCTTTCTCGAGCATCTCATTTCCATGGTTACCAATTTTCTTATCTCGTTAATAAATGACTAACCTCAGTTAACAATGTTACATTCGTTTTCTGTGACTCCAAAGCTCCTTTAAATACTTCATTCTGCAATACAACGAAATTTGGCTCAGGTTAACAGATTCTCAAAGCCATGTTTCTTTGCTGTAAAGTTGAACATAAAAGACATAAACAGCAGACTGTAAAGTAAATTGTCTGTATTTAAATTTACGCTGGTAAAACCGGTAGTTACATTTCAGTGTACTGGAGTTTTGTATGTCAGTTGAAATGGATTAATTGTTTGGTTCAGATTATTTTATTAATCGATACTTTAGTACGCCCCTGGCGAGATCCAGCGAAATATGACAGGCAATAAAGAAAGTACTAAATACAACATAAAATGTAACTACATAGCTCAACAGAGGGAATGGAAAAGGTGTGCACAAATACAATGGAAAATTTCGATCAAAGTCTTTATCAGCGGAGTTTTATGGTGTATTTAGCGCTTCTTGTCATCAGCCGACTTTAGTTACCCCGTCCCCCCCCCCCCCCCCAACCACCATCCCCAGTAAACTGCGCAATCAGTTTTTTGTGTGTCTTCTTTGTCCCAAGCTAAAATACACAGTAGTCTTAGATCAGCAGCATGTAAAGCCAAACTGTCGTGTCTGTGGCATATAAAACAGGACTGGTCATCGTGGAAGAGATTAGGACCTCAATGTATAACACGCCCATGTTAGCAGGCAAGTGAGCATGGGGCGGACAGTGATACAAGTGGGAGGATAACATCAAGAATATCCAGGTCGAAAGAAGGCTTGTTGAAGATTCAGTACAAGCGTTTCCTTAGTCTTTCAGCCCTGGACAGGAAATACAATACCTCGATCTATCCTCATTTTTGGAACTGTGAGGTTACTAGTTGTTAACAGAAATGAGACATTCATTACTTTGATGGTTCTCCTCATTGAACTCACAGCGAACGCCCATGTACTTCGCTAGCCCCGAATAACATTTCCTCCGTGTAAACTAGATTATCATCTGCATCTGTGTTTTCATCAATCACTATTCTGGCTTACGTGTCTGCTATGCCAGGACTCTGCTCTCTGCAGTTTCTGTCAAGTGCGTTTTGGGCTGTAATGATAATGTTTGAAGCAGCAGGCAAGATTATCCACGTATTTCCAAGATTAACGTCAGCAAACCTGTCGGGTGGAATCCTCAGCCTATGCCATTAACGATTGATATCTTTGAAGTCTATTTCTTTCCACTTTGAATATTTCATCCCTCTCGAAGTGGGTTTTGGTGTCAGAATTCACTTGAGAGAAGCAGGGGCCCCAGATAACTCGACTCTGTTATCCATTGTAAGAAAATCCAAAAGATATGGCTTCTAGTTTTCAAGCGTTAGTGCGGGCAAGTCAAGTAGTAAATGCTTGAGATCATTACAGAAACTATTTACTTTTTTTCGTCGGAGCTTTTTATAGCTTAAGGCCTCATCAATAGTACTTGACTATTTCCTACCCTGACCTCAAAGAATGGGACATATGAAGCCTCTTGTCTTGAAACATCTTTAAATATTAGATAAAAGATTAAAACACAATTTTTTTTCAATATCTAAGTTTTTTTCTGGGCGTTGGGCTGTTAATACTGACACGCATAACACCTTGGCAGAAAATACTAGACAAATAACTTGGAACCTGAATGGAGACACAACAAGGGGACCCCAAGTCGTTACTTTGGGGAGGAGATTAAAGGTCGGCCATAGATACACAGGGACACAACAAGGGGACGCCAAGTCGTTACTTTGGGGAGGAGATTAAAGGTCGGCCATAGATACACAGGGACACAACAAGGGGACCCCAAGTCGTTACTTAAGGGAGGAGAGTAAAGGTCGGCCATAGATACACAGGGACACAACAACCGCCAGATAGGTAGTACTTGTTTAATCATAATTAGATAGATTAATACGCGAGGAGAAAGAAAGGGGCCACACAACCCGACACCTGTAATGAAGAAATTAACACATACAAAGGAGACAGTACTTGACAAAACTTGAATAACTCCTGGCTCTCAGATTTAAAAAAAAATGGTAAGGACAGACAATCGGTGACAGAAAACGTGCTATTGCATTAGAAAGAGGATAAAATGTAAACGCAGGTGCAGCCAATTAAGGAGACTTATTTAATACAGGAAACAGATGTGAGAACAACAGATACTTACAGACGATAGGGAATGCTCAGACGGAAACACTAAGTTTTTGGAACTTATATTCTAGGAGACGGAAAGAGTAAACTTCATTAGAAGAAAGAACTAGAGGTGAAACTTAAAACTAGAAGACAGGGCGTATTTACTATGGATTTGATAACTGAACTGACAATATAACTAGGTCCAAAGCCTTACAAATGTAGTTGTGTGAACTTTGGTAGAGACATTATTGAAAGTGAGGACTCAATCACCATTGTCATATATACTGAAGTTATCGATGTTTGAACTGATATGCTGATGTGCACAATAAACTACAGTATCTGATGTAACTTACTGTTGGATTCACTATACATGGTGTGTAAAGAGATAGGCAATCAACTATACAATTACGACAAACACTAAGAAGTCTCACCCGCCAATCTCTTCAATCTGTGTGCCATTTAGGTCATGTTTTGAACTGAACTAGGACATGACAAGAGAATACTTTGCTACCCCCCCCCCTCCTTTCCCCCGTTTTACCCGCACCAATATATTTAAGTATTTATTTTAACTGTTCATTTTATTTCAAAAATATTTTTATATTTATTTCCCACTTTTGATTATTATTACTACTACCATTGTGCACCCGCACCCCTCTTTTCCCCATACTACCATCATTCTGCCCCCCTTCTTCCCACAACATTTTCTTTATGTCGGCGCCTCTGCCAGGCCTAAACCATACCAGTGACTGTACTGCATCACAATCCAGTAACATCAATAATAATAATCGTGATAACAACTTGCACTCAGAGGAAGGACATCAAGAAGGACTTAACTCCTTCTCATTTCTTCTCACCTTACTAGGTGGCGTAGACGTAAGACTAATGTCTGCAGCAAATAATCATATCCTCACCTCTTGTATCAAATCATTTACTGTTATGGACATTTCACCCAGCGACTTTGTGAGATTCAATGAAATGTGTCTTGTGTCTGAAAAAATCGAAGAAAAAAAAAAAAAAATCAAGATCACTATTACCAGTTTCTGCATACACTTTGTAGACTGAAGTTTCATTGCACTCCCATATGACATTGCTGAAAATTTGTGCTAGAAAATCTTGTGTATAACTTCTTCTTCTTCTTCGAGTACACCAGCTGTACACTCTGGCGGAAAGTTCCGGTTGCTCGTCCACTACTGAACTGCAGTCCTGCTCCAGAACCTGAGTGTTGCGTGTGCATCCGTTTTACAGATCTCATTCTCTTGAATACAGACTACTGGTTCCTTGCCTTTCTGGCAGATGCACTCCGACTTCAAAGGAAGCTCTTACGACATGCTTTTGGGGAGGCAGTGGGTCTATTCTTGTTTTCCCCACAATGGGGCCCCGGAACCCACACGGGGGATTTTTTGTATAACTGACTTCGTACTTACGCGAAAAGGCCAACTATCACATTTCCACTCTAAAATAGATAAAACGAGCATGTGATATAGTTAGAAACCAAATGGCATTTGTTTCTAGTAGCTGAAGGGTGTTTCAAATGGAAAGGAGCGGCTTCGTTGCATTAGGTATTATTTGATATTGCTCTCCACACAATGCCTCATTGTCAAAGAGATGCTCACTCGGAGTACGAAACTTGGTAAGTATGCCTATTACCCTCAGAGATCTACGAAATATGCATACAAGCAATCTAAGGCCTGAGTTCACAACCGAACTCACGACCTTTAGATCATCATCATCATCATCATCATCATCATCATCATCATCATCATCATCATCATCATCATCATCATCATCATCAACCTCATCATCATCAAGTGCCTTGCTGACCTACGTGGGCGATCATGCCTCTCCACAATCTGCGATCTTCAACAGCATGTATTAGTTCATGTTTTGACCTCCCGCCCCCAGCTCCCCCCTTCCCCCCAATGCAGGGAAAAGGCTGTCAAAAATCTGTCTCTTTTTCCACAGACCTCCCTAGTGGTCACAACATGTTCCACCTTACGTCTGCTCAAAATATGACCAAAACGATGGCCGTCTTTTTTTTCTGGCGCTTGTCTTCAAACCATCGCTCCTTTCAAAACATATTGGTTGCTCTTTTTAGCTGTCCATTGGAATGAAAGGCCTTTTCTCTACAACCATATCTCTAAGGCCTCAGGAAATTGTTCTTGGTTGTTTATTAATTGTCAAGGATTCACAGACATATGTTACAGGTGGCTCTATATAGACTTTCAGATAGCAGAGCTAAAGCCGTTATTGTAATTCACCGTGAAGAAATACCTTTGAATCAAAAGTCATAGTATTACAGCAAACATAGAAATGATACTACATAGAGACAGTACTTGCTGATACTGAAGCGAGCTCGTAGATGCTAAGACTCAATGCTGTCATGGAGATAATGAGTGTGGCAGTTAGTGACACCACGATCCAACAATTGACTCTGCTTAGACTAGTACACTGCTGTATAGTATTACTCGAGCTTTTGCTACTAAACTGCAGATATGTATGCGCGGAATCATCGGGTACTCCCGGAATTTGGCTGAAAACAAGAAGACAAAAAATGTAAGCTGAAAATCGGATGAGCAGTAAAAAAAAAAAAGTATCAAAAACTTTGGCTTTATAGCTACAACCGCGCTGAAAATAAGCCAGTACGTGAATGCACTAAATCAACGAATACAGGTTTATTTCCACACGCATGTAAAACTGGTTACAGAAAACAGTAATCCAATTTGTCAGGCGATGTTTACAAAGACTATGTAGCATCCAGATATCAACGATATAGAGATGTCCAAGTCCTAAGTCCTTTTAAGAAAAAAAAAAAAAAAAGCTCGACCACGTTCAGACTGCTGCTAGCTAGCCTAGGCTGCTAACAGTCTCCGCCTATATTTGTGGTCTGGGTTATTTGCGTCACTTTCGTGACTGAATACTGGTGTTTGTGCCATTTCTGGCTTAATGCTTCCCTCCGTATCAAACCGCTCGTCCTGTTGTCACTGGTGCAAGTCTTCCTTCTTCATTCGTGGTGTTTCCTGTTTGTTCTGTCTCCCTTTGATCTGGCTAGGCGTATCTCGAAGGAGAGCGAGCTTCCAAACACAACGACCTTTCGGCCACCATTTATTGTTTTAAAATTTTGAGTATTTTAATTTTGCCAAAAAGTACTGAAAACAGTTTTTGAATGTGAATAGTTCCGAAATGTGAAAATTTTCCGCGTATGACCATAGTGGTCTTATAGTTGTCTTCCTGTAATATGAACGGGTTAGTCATGTATTGGATATGTGTGTGGGAGTTTGTGTGGAGTCTTAAGCGAGTCCAGTCGTCATTTGTTATTATGTGATCGGGTTGTGTTGATAGCTAAGCTCCGGTGTACGTAAATACCATATAACCGGACCGTCCAGCTCACGCTTTGAGATCCAAATGATCGGCGATGAGAATTGTTGTGGCATGATGGGCAACGAACTCAAGTGCTCTCTGTGGGAATGGGTTGGGGGGTTAAACTCATAGTGCATCCGAAAGATTTAGGGAAAGGTGGGGGGAAGGGGAGCGGGAGGCCATTCAGTCAATTCTCGTTGTTGCCGTCTTGCTGGATTCTAGCGTGGCTTTTTGCCGGGACCATGTGTATCACGTTACCAACCTTTGCTATCATCCCAGTGATGGGGTGGTATTGAAGGCTATGCGTTCTAGTCCTGTCATTATCGAGTCACTTGTATTCCCTACTTGCTGTCAGTCATATTTTTGTTACGAGTCCTGTCGGTCATGTGCATGTTGTATGCATGTTGTGGAGTGGGATGGTTTTGTTTATGAATCCCCGGAGTATATGGACGCACCCAACTAGGTGTATGCGTACATGCACTCGAGTACTCATACATGCAGGCAACACTACATATTTGTACGTCCTTTCATACTTATCCGTATATGCATACCTAATTGACATTACGTACACACGCAAACTCTTTCATATGCGTTTACCAATGCCTGTGCTTACATTCATTAAAAAAAAAAAAAAAAAACGAGTACATCCACACGTAGTGATATTCACTCTTCCATGTCTTATGTGTTTTGTGTCGCTTTGTCTGTAATTTCGTCTGGTCGTGTCACTTTTAAGTTATGTCCTGTTACTGGTATGTGACCTGTCCGGTACTGACGTATCATGTTTTGGTGGATTGTGTGCGTTGATGACGTTCTTGCTGCTTACACCCTTCATTCCATTTGTTCTCATTAATGAACAGACATACAGCAACACAGTTTATGGTTTCTTTGATTGCACTGTGATTCATACACTCACAAATATATTAGTATACACGCTCTCATATATATAATATAGAGATGTCACCACATCAGCATATATATACATGTTCAGCACTTGAATGACCAATCACACTGGACTACAGGTAACTTCGTCAAAGTTTTGGGGTGCCCAAATAAAATGGTGCTGGGCTGTTTATATACGGTTGAACAAAGTTTCGTGGATTTGTAATCGTTTGATTCTCATCCGTGAGATGGTAATCATACAGTTAATCATATGTACTGCAAATCGGGCAGAGAAGGGGGACAAAAAATAAAAAATTACATAGCTGATATTTTGGGTCATTTTTGTTTTTTAAATCCCAGTCGAAGCTGGAGTTGATTTCCATTCACCTGAGGCCCAAGGTCTAATATGGGCAATATAAATATTCATGTGAAGTATAGCAAGCCGGTGTGGTGTTAACACAATCACTCATCAAATTAAACTTGGTTTCAAATGTACTATTAGCACTATACACTCTTTTCACTTCTTCGCCTAAAAATCTTATTTTTCAGCATTCCGAGCCCTCGAGGTTCATAGATGCAGATTTTAACTTTTAATCCTGCCTTCATTTGGCCTTTGCACCGTATACTTTTTACGTTTCTAGGACTTAGCTGTCTATCAAATATATAAATATATTGCCCGGGTCCCTAATATAACCCAACCTGTATGTTGAACTGGGTGTATGAGACCTAACCCCGGGTGATCCTCATCTGAATGGTGGTACTTTGTGTTATCGGGTGTTTATCATTCAGTGCGATCTCTGGTGGGGTTAAACGTCAGTCACTCACTTAGCTCGTGTCTGTTGGGACAATGGTCCGGGTTCACTCACCAGAAGGGACATTATCTTGTACTACCAGTACGGTTCAGGGGTCGACATAAAGCGCAATAAAATGGGTATAAGGTAACTTCCATAATTTTCTAGGAATTGTCTGGAAGGGAAAGGCAGCTAGCAAGGGAAGCGGCCATTAACTAGATCAGTATTCTTCCCTTTTGTTTACACACACGGCCCATCAGCTGAAGAAATACCTGAAGGTCTGACATTTCACAACCCAATGGCAGTACACGCTAAAGGACTCCCTATAGCCGTATCTGTTTTGTTCAGAGTTAAGATGTCCTCACGGCACTTCAGGCACGTCCATAACGGGAGACAAGGATCTTTAACAAACACTGCGGGGATTTTCAATATAACCCGGCTGTAGCGGGCAAAAACCGAGAAGGAACAAAAATAGAGACATATTTCGACAATCACTGTCTGCAGTATTTATAAGATCAAGATGTTTGTAATATGGTTGGCACTTTCTGAAGAAATGTAGTCGTAGTACTCTTACGCCACTAGGACATCACACAAGCGATAAACACAAGATGACACAAAAGGCCACCATGCGGATGAGGATCACCCGTGGAGAGGTTCCTGAAACCACATTCAGCCATTAGGTCATATTTATGGCCGGGCTAAATTGCGGCCCCTGGAAAGAGTCAGGGTGGGGCTTCAAAATAACAAAAAATTGCATCCCACAAGGGAATGACTGAAGAAAGGCGAAAGTAGAAAACATAAACATGTACTGCAATAGGTAACTAATGGACTGAGGAAACGGGAATGTCCAAAAGAAACCTTCAGACCTAGTTTTATAAGAAAGATCAAAAGTATGGGGCTGAATTCCCTCAGTTATGTCGAAATTATAATCACAGAATAGAACATAATGGATTTCAACAGCGAGCAATATATGACACATAAACAGTCCAGTGGGATGACGACTGTGAGAACGACGATGAGTTATTTGCAGACGTCATTTACCTTTGTCCCTGCTGACCGTTTGAAGGATGCCACTGGTCATCGTGGATCCTGTTGTAGTGGTCCATGTCCTCGTCTGGTAGGTCGTACTCAGTGGACAAGCGAGACACTGACAGCACTGAGGTAGGCGAGACAGGAATTGATGTGCTGAGGTCAACATTTCTTGGTTCTTGAGACGATAAAAAGTCAATTCCGGCATAAGGTTCACGGCAACTAGTTAGTAACATTGTATTATCATGATCATGTACTTGAACATTAGGAGACGTTCTATGTAGATGCGTGACCTTGACGTGACCGTAAAATCGTGACCTTTCATGTTCTTCATCTCATTCTCCTCATCCTTCTCTGTCTCTTCTCGTTCTTCTTTCTTCTTTTCCTCCTCCTCCCCTCCTCCATCTCTTCTTCTTTTTCAGCGTTCGCCATTAAAAAAAGGGTTGTCACATTGTTTTGCGGATGACAGCTAGGTTGTGACATCTGCAACTTTCGATCCAATTCATCCGATTTCAGAAAATTCATAATAAGCCGCCATTTACAACATGCTTGTTAGAGGCAATGTTTTTTTTTTTATGGTCCGTTGAGTCTTAAAAAATCGTGACCAAATCGTTAAGCAGTTTGTCTCAAGATCTGAAGTTTAAGGAAACCGGTTTCGGACTCCGTGCTAATTTTCACCAGTGCAGGTGATTGCAAGATTTTGACAAGCTGTTGTTGCAGATATGGAGTTTCGTGCTTAATGCGACGCTCACAGTAAGCGACGAGCCGGTAATTAAGAAATTCCAAGTCTGACTGGGAAAAATCCAGTACGGTAAAAAGTAGAATTTTGCTTTAAATTTTATTTTTAAAGTGACAACACTTTTAAACACCATAATGGAATCTAACTGTGTAAGATAATTTTTAGATAACACTTCAATTGTCTTGTCATTGTCTCGCACTAATTGGGCTTTTTCAGAGATGGGTCGATTACAGAACTATTTTTCCCCCTCATGTTTGAAGTTCTGTCTGCCGGTCCGAAGGTCTTGTGATCGAATTCTAATAGGCTGGTATGTGTAGGTTGTTAGCTTGTTGATAATTTTGGTTTGACCGCACTTGGCGGACTCAAACTGGCAGGTTTGCAGATTGGATCTCTCTGGAAGTGGCCATAATATCGAACAGTTTATAGAAGGCCTGGGGAGGAAAAAAAATCTCTTGGGTAGTCGTCGCTGATACGAGAACCATGTAGTCCTGACTATGCGTTGCGGAACCGTATAGGGTTCTTAGCGTCACGTAGGTTCAGGGAACTGAGTCGAGAGATAAAGTTGCTCACTGGTTTCGTGTTGTAAAATACGTAATTGAGTTAAATCTAAATTTCCATGGGCATCCTTTGAGGAGATTTTTGATTGCAGCTCACTTTGAAGAAAAGTGAACTCTTATCTTTGTTAGCTAGATTGATTAGCACATGGTCTTTCGAACACGTTATTGACTGTTAACGTATTGTTTTCTGCGAAGCAAATCACGCTATTTTTGTGTTAAGTAAAATAAAAAGATGCTGAATGTGATGATTATATTCCATTTGTTTTATTCAGAATAGAATTTGTAGTTAGTGCACCTTGTCTGCTTAGGCACTGTCTACGTATTTATATGTTGTTGTTGGGTCATTCACTAATCAGATATCATTGCCTGAACCGTGAGTAATATTTCATGGCTCATGCACCAGTAGAACCATTTTTTTTTTCTTTACTTCTCCTGTTTATACAGTTCAGCTGGGAAATACTTTTTGTCCTAACCACATTTCTTTTCTCGTCTCTCTATTTGTTTTTCTCCTGTTTTCGCTCTTCCCTCTAGCACAGAGTACTTTATCCAGATAAATCTGTTTATAACTGACCTTCGCTCTCAGGTCGACACTTACTAAAATGGAAATATCATTAGAAGAAAAGGTGTCATCGTGGTGTTGACCACTTCATCAATCGTGATGTTGACCATTTCATCCATTGTGATGTTGACCACTTCGTCCATCGTGATGTTGACCACTTCATCCATTGTGATGTTGACCACTTCATCCATTGTGATAATGACCACTTCATCCATTGTGATGTTGACCACTTCATCCATTGTGATAATGACCATTTCGTCCATTATGATGTTGACAACTTCGTCCATTGTGATGTTGACCATTTCATCCATTGTGATGTTGACCACTTCATCCATTGTAATGTTGACCACTTCATCCATTGTGATGTTGACCATTTCGTAGATTGTGATGTTGACCATTTCGTCCATTGTGGTGTTGACCACTTCGTCAATCGTGATGTTGACCACTTCATCCATTGTGATGTTGACCATTTCGTCCATTGTGATGTTGACCACTTAATCCATTGTGATGTTGACCACTTCGTCCATTGTGATGTTGACAACTTCATCCATTGTGATGTTGACAACTTCATCCATTGTGATGTTGACAACTTCGTTTATTGTGATGTTGACCATTTCATCCATTGTGATGTTGACTATTTCATCCATTGTGATGTTGACAATTTCATCCATTGTGATGTTGACCACTTCATCCATTGTGATGTTGACCACTTCATCCATTGTGATGTTGACCACTTCATCCATTGTGATGTTGACAACTTCGTCCATCGTGATGTTGACCACTTCGTCCATCGTGATGTTGACCACTTCATCCATCGTGATATTAACCACTTCATCCATTGTGATATTAACCACTTCATCCATCGTGATATTAACCACTTCATCCATCGTGATATTAACCACTTCATCCATCGTGATATTAACCACTTCATCCATCGTGATGTTAACCACTTCATCCATCGTGATGTTGACAACTTCATCCATCGTGGTGGTAACCACTTCATCCATCGTGGTGGTGACCACTTTACCCATCAAGATCTATACAAATATATGTTTAGCAGCATATGTCTGATGCGCCATTGGCATCAAAAGAGTTCCTTACTCGTTTATCCCCCCCCCCACCCCAAACGAGGTTGTTGTTGATTTCCAGTTCTAAATGTCAGGACACAGTCTATGATGCTACCACGTATACTATACACTATATGCTTTCTAATCTGGGAGATGTAGCTACATTATATTATTCCTGGAGAAAAATTACACTAACAGTTTTTTTATATCCTTTCCTTCGTTACTTTCTCTTTTATTGCTTTGGGTGTCGAAGGAAATATAAGGTTTAGCTTCTTGCTGTTCTGCTGCTTCAACCACATACACATCATACAATTGTACAGTTTTTTTTGTTCCATCGTCTTCTACCCACACTCTACATCCCCCTCTTCTTTTGGCGTATGCCTTGTATGGTAAAGGTAAAGTGTTGGGAAGTAAAGGCGACCGGTGTAATGTTGTATACATCACCCATTCAGTGCCGAGTGGGCTATAAAATGTAGGTCTAGCACCATATGCCAAATGAGTAGAAGGCCATGTAGAAGGGTCATTTACTTTCAGTTGCATGGAAAGGTGTGGCAAGGCGCCATCTGTGTGGGGGCAAACCATTTGATTTGATGTCTATGTATTTGATGTAGTACTGGTTCTGTGAAATCATTTTTGATTTGATCTCTTCTGGTCACTCATACCACCTTTCTTATCAACTCATTTCCATGGTTACTAATTTATAAACAATATTATATACTCACCTGAATCTGATCTACGAGTTATTCTGTTTGTTACTGGGGAGTTACGGGTTACCGTGCTTCTTGCGTGAGACTCGTTGTTTACTGGCGCATCTGCTGGGGTCAGATACCCATAGTTGGGAACTTTTGTACAGAAAACCTTCATAGCAGTCATTTGAAAACTTTCAGTTCCCACTTGCTCCCTCCCAGCATCTCTATGTAGGGAATCTACCATAGCGGTGCTGCATGGACGTTGTTCATTCTCTTCCCTGACACTAGTACGGTTGGCAGACTTCTTTGATAAGACATGATTAGGCAACGTCTTCTTGGGAAGTGGTGGAATGACGTTGTTGCTGCTGTGGGTGAAGTCAGTTGTGTTAGTGTTAGCATTTTGGCCATTTCTGAGACGAAGGGAGCTGCCTAATGTCGTGGACATGCTGAAACTAACGTTGATAGCTTGAAATATTATAACACGCCAAGTCGAGTAGCTCCGTCTAGTGTGGCGGTTCTGAATACATCCTTGGAATATTGTAGGAAGTCAGTTGAGTCTCTAATGGAGTATTTCTGCCACCACAAATAGAATATTGTAAGAAGTCTTTTCAAAATTTTTCTTTCACTGTAGTTGTCTGTGAATACAAATATAGAATGTAAAAGACATATAAGAAGTTGCAGGAGACAGAAAAGGTTGCTAAATGTGATGATTATATTCCATTTGTTTGATTCAGGATAGAACTTGTAATTCGTTCACCTTGTCAGCTTAGGCGCTGCCTATAAAGTTAAATGTTGTTGTTATGTAATTCACTAATCACATATTTATCGCCTGAACCGTGAGTAATATTTCATGGCCCATGCACCAGAAGAACCCATACTTGGTTGGTTGAATCCTTATTTTCCACTAGAGGAAAATCGTCAGGAGACGACGAAGACAATAAACAATAAGAATCGTATGATCACTGGATTGCATTTCTTTTTTTTTTTTTTACTCAATGTTCGAGATGATAGAAATGTCAGGACAGTGTCATGTGAATCTTCCGACTCGATTTTGATTTTCAAGATCGTCTGCAAATTTGAAGAGTGTGGTATACTCTTTCGCTTAAGTTGTGTTTGTAAATAACTTGTTATTACTAAATATTACACTGGTCTTGTTAGCTATACTATCCCGCTACAGACATGGGAGCACAGCTAAACGCACTACAAAACACATGCTTTAGGGAACAGACGAACATTAATTTCAGTATTTAAATAATAAATTCAAGAAAGGTTAAGAAATCAGATAAATACATAGACAAAGGGTGGTGTCAATAGTTCAAAAAAATTCAAGGACCATTTTCTATGTCTTTTGGCTTATTGGGTTTATAGTGCCAGATCTATATTCTCAGACCAATCGGCAGTCAGTGGCTGATATGGTCAACACTACACCGCTTCGTCCACTTCACATGACTTTATCTTCTACCCATTCAAGGCTTTGTGGACATGGGAGCCGTGGTTAGTTTTGACAGGGAAAACCTTCCGGCCTGATGTGGATTCAACCCACGACGTTCAAGTCTGCTAGCGAACGTCTAGCCGCTGTTTTACAAGAGGTCTCTATTATAAAAAGCTGATGGCGATATAGTATGAGGCGACGTTACAGATATTCACAAAAGAGTCACTGAAATAATAATCAAGTGTACGAAGAAGCTAGGGGGTTTAACTGAAACCGTACCAGGGACGTTGATGAGAGAGATCAGAGCTGCCAGACTGAACAAGATTGCCAAGGCTAGAACGAGATGAACCAATCGAATGGGGCGCCTAATGAAATATGTGAACACCACAACATAGCGATGACCATCACAAGATGAGGATTATGTGATAGTTCAACAACAATTTAATTGCGGGCGGGGGGAACAAACAGGTAGATATACATTAAATATAAGCTAGGGTAGTAAATTAATAGCAAACACATACACATAATAACGCATTAGGCATACGAGAAACAGTTCGAGTAGTTTTACTAAATAAAGACTTGTTACTCTCAATAAATACCATGAAAAAATATCAGTCGAAACAATAGGTAAAAGGGCTCTTACCTATTCTGAACAAAGGTTAAGCTTACCGTAGTAGACAAAATCAGTTTTAGGTTTTAGGAAAGTTGCGTTTAAAGACAAACCACTGGCACAGTAATGACTACGTCCATATCACACAGTCGAATATGATTTAATAAATAAAATAACAAGACAGTAACTTCCATAAGAGCGACATCTAAACTGTAGTTTAATGCAAAATGTAAAAATAACACACCTGCCTAAAGTTTATGTCAAAGGGAAAATCCAGCGACACGCTCTAGTTAAGCTGTGACGTATTCAAATCTGCTTGTTACTTTGAAAAGTGACACAGCCCCATTACACAGACATTAATGAGCCGGACAAGGCAACAGTTGACAAACTATTCCTTGAAAAAAGATTTATTACCTGTATACTTAGAATAAAATATAAGTATATTTAAAAAAAATTTAGGGAAATATTTGTTCTTACCAAACCCTATCTTCCTAATATCTAATTTAGTATATACATTGAAACGTAAGACATTACAATTTCATTTCAACAACATAAATCCGCAAAAAGTATTTGTTTGTGATTCAGAAAACTTTCTCGTGTGTTGTAGAGGTCACCTCAGAGAAGCCAAAAATATTAACACCATACCTACCGAACGTTTTGTTAGAGAGGTGAAGAGTGTCGATGTCGGGCTTTAGATGCACATATAACAAACCATCAACAAGTCTTCCTCATTCAAAAATTCTGACATGAGACGAATAGCCGAATATTCTTGATCTTGGGATATATTGAGGTGGGAAGGGGAAAGAGTGAGTGAGAGAGAGAGAGAGAGAGAGAGAGAGAGAGAGAGAGAGAGAGAGAGAGAGAGAGAGAGAGAGAGTAGGTAAGAAAGAGATAAAGAAGAAGAAGAAGAAGAAAAGGACGAGAAGAAGGAATATGACAAAGTAGAAGAAGAAGGGGAGGAAGAGACGAAATAATAGAATAAATCAATATAACTGCACAACAAAATGCCACAAAACACCATTGTAAAGAGGAAATTTGAGGGTAAGAGATGTAGAAAGACCAAGAGAAAATACGCTAAACATTTTTAAATCATGGCATGGAAGAACATTTGCCTGATAAATGATTGACAGTATCTGGGACAGAGGGCTGAGATATACGTGATTATCAATGTCACATGGCATAGACCATGAGAAGAAGAAACGTTTCGACGAGATCCGCCCATCAGTAATGATCACGATCGTGTACCTCAGTTTTCTTCATACATAGCTCACCCACTTCGGGACTGAGCTGTATTAGTACAGTGTGCTATTTTTCCACGACCCTCATTATTGTACACACATTGTTCTACTTTGCAGATTCGTGATTTTGGAGGACCTTCACCAGAACACTCCTGACTTATCTACAAGTGCTTCCATCTCCACCGGAATAGCTCCACAAGCGTAAACCGACTGTGTTGACAAACCAAGCGTACTGCGCACTTGAGATGTTCATATTTGGGAGATCCAGTCGGCACCCCGATATTTACCAGTCTGGACAGAGAGACTCAACCTTGCTGAAAACTTAGCTAAATCGACACAAACAACGACACAGGAAGACGGGAGAACAAGTAACACAACCGAAACTAAGATGTTTGCCTGAATAATTTTATTGATATCAAACTAACATTGGTAATGTGCACAGCCCACAACATCGATATTTACAAGAAGATGTCCATAAATGATAAACCGAGATAATAGACATTCCGTGCTGATAGTCGCCTGATTAAATATTGAAATAGACATTCCGTGCTGATAGTCGCCTGATCAAATATTGATAATTATCAGATAATTTCATAATAACTATCTAGGAGTCTCTGTGAACACGTAGTTAGCCCGATGTATTCGTGCTATGCATAACAAGCTAGTAGTTTTAACGGTTTTTTTGGTAGCGAGTGAACGGTGTGGAGGCACAGATATATAGATCATCGCGGTCTGAGAAGAACGGTGTGGAGGCACAGATAAATAGATCATCGCGGTCTGAGAAGAACGGTGCAACGAGGAGTGACCAGGGGGTCCGGCTAACGCCCAACCCCGAAAGGAAAGTCAAGACGGATGTACAATCAGACTGTTACTAGTGGCATCAAAATTGGAACTCTTCACTTGCTGCTGGAGATGGGGACGAAGCGCCTATGGAAATGCCCCGAAGTCTGTGATGTGGATTCGTAATTCATTATTTAACATTCTCGTGCAGCGAAGATATAAGTTGAGTTTTAAACTGTCCTTCGGTTTGCGAGTGCAGTTATTGCAAAGATGCCCGAGGGTCATCCCTGGAACTAAGGAGTGTCGTTCTGTGTGCGATAGCTCTTGAAGGGCGAAAAGCCACTCTGTTGAGAGAGAAGGGGCCATACAGTAAAATCGAGTGCCATGAAGCCAGTTCACACAAAAATTGTTTAAAAAAAATTACAGAGCTCACGTGTCGTCGACCCATTCTAAAATAGGCACCATGAAATGTCCTGTGAAGTAAATTCGGTCGGAAGGACATTGATCCCATCACTCATCAAGTGATAATTGATCTATAAACATTTGGAGCTACCACGATATACTACGTGCGCCAATGGAGTGAAAATAGTAATTCTTTTTTTTTTTTTAACAGTTGATAATAATACAGTGAAACCTCGTTAAGACGAATTTCAAGGGACCGAAAAATCAAGCCTTCGTGTAAAAAAAAAAAAATGCTGCTAACCTGGAATTAACAATAATTCTCCCTGTCGGGATCAAAATTGTGCTCGTGTTAACCAAGTGTTCTTGGGTAAGCGAGTTCTTGCTAACGGGGTTTTACTTTAATAATAATAATAAAATGCAATATTAACACTTCCATAAGGAAACACTGAGGAATACATACTTTGTTTGCACATTAAACTAAAAGTCGGTTAATTAGGACTGTTTCCTTTAAAATAGGAGTGCATCTGCCTGAGAGACTGGGAGCCAGTCTGCATACAAAACAACCAGATCTGAAAACGGATGTTGACGCAAAACTATGGTGCTGGAATAAGACTAAGGTTTAAAAAACAATGGACTAACAATCAGAACTTTCCGCCGGAGTTTACTGTTGGTGAACAGGAAAAAGAAGTAACATTTGGTGCCTGCCTTTTTTTTTTTAAACTGCCTGTCACGGTTGACGTACGTGCATTCATTTACGTATTCTGGCTGTGTTCCAAAGACTCATCACAGTCGTGTGACAAGCACAAAAGTGTTGGTTATAATGTTTCCTCATTCTTCCACAATCACCAGAATCAAGCAGCCAGTCAGTGTCCTTGTCTTGCCCATCCAAATGGCTAAGCCCTGCGGTATTTATCCCATATATATCTCCTTTCTCTTGCGCTGCCACCAATCTGCTCAGTCATTGCTAAGTTCTCAAGTCCATT